TTCTGGGGTCTGTAACCCCAATTCCAGAGGACCCAAAACCCATTGCAAAACACTAATGCACGTAAAATAAAAACAGAAAAAAAAAAAGAAGGAAATTCATTGGGGAGTTTGAGTCTCACCCTGACTTGCCTCTCTGTTTTCCTTAGCACTCACAGGCCACCATCGTTACTATTTCCTCTATGCAAATTCAAATAAATGTAAATATTTATCCTCATTTGTACCTCACTTCTTAGATGAAAGATGATATAGCACAGGTAATTTTCTTTCTTTTCTTTTTCTCCTCCTCCTTCTTTTTTTGAGGCTGGGCCCTCCCACAGAAGTCACTGATCAAGAAAGTGCCTCACAGACTTGCCTGCAGGCTAATCTAATGGAGGCATTTTCTTAGCTGAGGTCTCTCTTCTCAAACGACTCTAACTTGTGTCAAATTGACAGAAAAACTGACAGGCAGGAATAGAAAAGCTACGGTCCCTGCCTTGGAAAAGCCTGCAGTCTAGAGGAAGAAGTGGATCCCACGACCTCCAGAGAGGCCTCACCTAAAGTCAGAATGCTCGCCATTAGAGGGTGTTTGTGAAGACGTGAGGAAACAGGCATCCTCATTGTATCTGTTACTTTTCTATTGCTGTGATAAAACGCCATGACCAAGGCAACTTACAGAAGAAGGGTTTATCTCGGGCTTACAATTCCAGAGGGAGAGGAATCCACCAGTCTCAGGGTGGAGAGCATAGGAGTGGGCTGGCAGGCACTGTGCTCCAGCAGCTGCTGAACTCACATCCAGATCCACGGACAGGAAGCAGAGAGAACTTTAGGGATAGCTGGAGAAAGCCCACCCAAAGTGACACACCTCCTCTAACAGGGCCATACCTCCTAGTCTTTCTGAAACAGTTCCAGCAACTGCAGACCAAGGATTCAAACATACCAGCCTGTGGGGCCAATCTCATTCAAGCTACCACACTCATCCATTGTTGCTGCTGCAAGGTGGTCATACTTTTTTTGGGGGCAATTCAGTGAATATTTATTAAAAACTTTAAAGTCCAGGTAGGACATGGTGGCATATGTCTGTTATCCTAGCACTTGGGAAGCTGAGGCAGGCTGGTGGAGGATGGAGAGTCCAAGAACAGTCTTGGAGGGAGGGAAGGAGGAGGGAAAAGGGGGAGGGAGAGGGAGAAAGGGAAGAGAGAGGGACAGAGAGCTCAGTATTTATAATAATAACCAGAAAATGGACTGATGTAACCTGAATGTTCATCAGGAGGAAGTAGAAATGCCTTGCACAAGCAGGCATAGAAAGTAGGAGCAACACACACACACACAATACACATTGTTCACAAATATTCAAACACCTCTGCAAGGATACATCCAGTAACATTGTTCTTTTTCTTTCTGTTTTTTTTTTTTTTTTTAAGATTTATTTATTTATTATGTATACAGTGTTCTGCCTACATGCATGCTTGCAGGCCAGAAGAGGGCACCAGATCTCATTACAGATGGTTGTGAACCACCCTGTGGTTGCTGGGAATTGAACTCAGGACCTCTGCAAGAACAGCCAGTGCTCTTAACCGCTGAGCCATCTCTCCAGCCCCCTTTTTCTTTCTGTTTTAAGTGAGGGTATCATGTAGCCCAAGCTGGCATCCAACTCACCATGCAGCTGATGTTGGATCTGAACACCAACTCTTCAGTGCTTCCCACTCCATAGTGCTGGCACTATAAGCTTGTGCTGTTACACTAAGCTATGTGTGTGCAAGTGTGCATACTCATGTGTGTACATGTGGAGGCCAGAGGTAATGTCCAGTGTCTTCCTCTGCCTCTCTCCACCTTATTTAAAAAATATTTTATTAACCATTTATTATTATCATCATTATTATTATTATTGTTATTATTTTTGAAACAGGGTTTCTCTGTGTAACAGCACTGGCCGTCCTGGAACTCACTCTGTAGACCAGGCTGGCCTTGAACTCACAGAGATCAGCCCTGTGTCTGCCTCCTGAGTGCTGGGATTAAAGGTGTGCGCCCCCCATGCCTGGCTATTAATCATTATTATATATGTGTATGTGAGTGTATGTGCCGTGGAGTGTATGATGGTCAGAGAACAACTTTGTGGAATAGGTTCTTTTATGCTTTTATGTAAGTTCCAGAGATCAAACTCTGGTCAGATTTATGTAGAAGGTACCTTTACCTGATGAGCCATCTTTCTGGGCCTCCACCTTATTATTTTAAAAAATCATTTTGTGTGTGGGTGTTTTGCCAGCATGAATGTGCACCATGTGCATGCTGTGCTGGTGGAGGCCTGAAGAGGGGGTCAGAATTCCTAGGACCGGAGTTACAAATGTCTGATAGGCACCATGTGGGTGTTGGCACTCGAACCCAGGTCCTTTGGAAGAGCAACCAGCACTCTCTTTTGGGGGGTAGTGGTGATGGTAGTGTCCAGACAGTCTCTCACCATGTAGCCTTGGCTGGCCTGTAGGTCATTATGTGGACCAGGCTGACCTTGAACTCATCGAGATCCACCTGCCTCTGCCTTCCAAGTGTTGAGATTCAAGGCATGCACCACTACGCCCAGCTCCCTTTTTCATTTGTGAGATAGGAGTTTGCTAGATAGCTCAGTTTTTCTTAGTTGAACTCACTATTCTCCTGCCTCAGCCCCAGAGTGCTGGGATTACAGGCATGCTTCGTCATGCTTGTTCACCAGGCTCTCCTTTTCCTCCTTTCTTCTCTTTCAGTAGTGAGGCTTGAACCCAGGGCTCTGTGCACGCTACCACTTTGCACTCTACCACGGAGGCACATCCATAGCCTACCCTTTTCTTTAAAGAGACATCTACTGACTACTTGTGGATATATGCTCAGCCACCTGAGTTCTGAGTGTCCCAATGGCTGAATATCCCTTCCATTAGAGATGACAAAGTGACAATTGTCTCGACATGTCACGCTGGTTGTGACCACCCATCACCGCAGCTTCACTCTGTCTTGGCTGTCATACCACCTGCTCACAGAAGGGGGCAACACAGACTTACCGAAACATGTTCCCAAACTTGACAACTAAGCCTTTCTGGTAGAATTTCCTCCATGGTGGTCCATGATTTGGGAAGACGCTTCCTGCCAAGCCAACTAAATTTAATAGGTAATAATTGATCGATCTCTTTGGTAACTCATGTTTCTGGTCATCAGGAGAGACGGTGTAGGCTTGCTGATAGGGTAATTTTCCACACAATAGGCCCTTTTTAGCTTAGCTTTCTTTCCACCAGGTTTTGGGTGGGAGGTGGTTGGCAGTGAGGACACAGGCTGGCAATGACTGCATTAGAGTCCCAGTGTCCCTCAAAGTGGTAGCGATGGGCAAGAGGAAGCATGGGCACCGCTCCCACGGGCACTTCATGGCAGATACTCTCCCAGATGTACTGAATTGCTTCCTTGCCAGGCTGTGAGCGGTACAAGGTTAGGGACTCCTCAATGGTCCCAGAAGCCCCAGCACTAAGCAGACAGCTGGGCACACAGCTGGGGCGAAGGAAACATTTGTTGATGAATTGAAAGAGACAGCTATAGAAGAATCAGGAAGCAAAGCCTTTAATAAACAAACAAAAAGATCTCCCAGCCACTTATTACAGGCTAGGCCCAAGGGCAAGCAAGGCTAAGGACGGCAGTGGGCACGGGCAGATCACCATCTCAGCAGGCTCAAGAAGACCCTGTTTCACCTACCCTGGAAGTCCCGGCTCAGAACACGGAATAGGGACTGCATCTCTTACATACCAGGGATGCTGGTGACCTTGGCAGGAGAGGCTTAAATCAGGTCGCTCTGGGGGAAGGGGCTGGTTCGTGTCTGTTCCTCATGATTGGATAATTAATTTCCCAGTTTCTGCTGAAATCCTTGTCAATGGCTCTGAGTATGAGGATGAGAGCTGGGAATGATCCAAAGTGACCACTTAGAGCCCCTGATCTGGTACAGAGAAAGTCCAGGGCTCACTCAGTGTGGGGCACCCCATCCCATGGCCTGGCAGTACGGAGAGAGGCCAACTTGAGAGTCCCACAAATTAAATGGGTAACTAGAGGAGCTAATTCAGGCTGGACTTTGAGCCCCGAAGGTCTGCCTCCTCTCCACTCTCCCACCCTAGATAAGAGGAATGAGAGTCCAGGGCAGTGTAGATTTTGGACACGGGGCAGAAGAGGCCTGTTTCTGCACTTGCTAGCTGTGTGGCCTTGGACAAGTTCCTTAACTTCTCTATTCCTCATTTCCCCATCACTGAAATGAGGACATCCATACCTACCTTTGCTGGTCACTGTCACAGAAATCTTTCTGTAACTATCAGATATCCAAGATTCTTATTCTTCGGGGAGAGAGGCCAGCCTAGGTCCCTGATGGTGACAGAATCAAGATGGTCCTCCCCTCTGCGGTGCATAGTCCTCTCCCAAGCAGCTGGCTTTAATCCTCCTTAATGCCCTGCTTCTCCTTGGCACCACCACAGTGGTCCCCAGGTTCTCCAACCTTCTTTTCCCATTGGTTCCCCCCCCCCCCCCGCCCGGTTTAAAGCCACGGAGGATGCTGGCATAGTCACAGCTGGTTAGGTCTCAATTGACCTAGGTCCGTGTCCTCCAACCTGTTTGCAGATGGTTCCCTGTGGTCCTTCCTCAGTTCATCTCTGGGCTCAAAGAAGAGAGACACAGAGGTGGGGGACCTGGAAGGGGGCTCCCACCTCCTTAGTCGGGGACCCAGAGGGGGACCCCCGCAACCCTTACGTCCCACCACTACAGTGCTGCCGTATGTCTCCAAGGCGCGCGCTCATTGGTTGGATAATCTTGCGCTCGGGGGGTCTGCCTTCCCCAGGCCCAGGCCCAGAGACCCCCACGGCCCGGCTCTGGGCGGGCAGAGAGCTGCGGTTCTAGGACCCGGAGGCGCCTGGCGAGCACGCCGCCGTATTCTCGGCCTCGCCTGGATCTGCTCGGCTTCGGGCAGGTGCATCGGCGGCCGCCCCCTCCGCCGCAGGTGCAGGGCTCGGCAGACCCCGGCCGGCGTGCCATGGCTGCGGAGGACCCCCGGCCAGCGCCCGCGCCCGCCCCCTCCCTGCAGCCCGCCCCCCTGGGGCCGGGTGCGCGGCGGAGAACTGCGGTTTGCGCGCACCGGGAGCGGCAGCAGAAGTTCGAAAATCGCCGAGGGGGGAGCCCGCGCCGCAGCTTCCTGCCCCCGGCCCAGCCCTCTGGCCCCGGCCGCCTGCAGCCCGACTTCCTCCCCGAGCTTCGCTCGTCGCCCGCTCCCTCGGACGGGGCCGCCGCGATGGGACGCCGCACCCCGGCCCCTGCGCGCCGCTGAGCCGAGAGACGCCGAGCCCAGCCCCGCCACCCGCCACTGCCCTTCGCCCCCGGCTCCGGGAGCCTAGTCCGCGACCCCTTGGGAAAACTGGATCTCCGAGGCTGGAGGCGCCTGGCCGGCTGGGTGGGGACCACCATGGGCAACGCGGCCGGCAGCGCCGAGCAGCCCGCGGGCCCCACCGCCTCGCCCCCGAAGCAGCCAGCCGCTCCCAAGCAGCCGATGCCGGCGGCTGGAGAGCTGGAGGAGAGGTTCACGCGGGTCTTGGTGAGTGTGACCCGGTGCGCGCCAGGAGCCTGGGATGACAGGGGCTCCGTACGCGTCCCCGCCTCTTGGGACCCAGGTGCCGCTTGGAGATCCCTGGCCCACCTGCTGCCCCTCCAGGGGGTGGGAGTGACAGTGTCATCTTTCAGAGTGACTTAACACTCTCCCCCCACAAAAAACTTTCTTCAGCCACCTCCAGTAAGCCTTCTTAAGGGAACCCCCACCCCATGCTCCTAGGTCTCAAGGTGTCAAAAATGCCCTGTGAGGTTGGGTTCCGAACGCGCGCAGGGTGGGAGAAGGCTGGCGCCCCCTTTTCCACTGCACGCAGGCCCAGCTGCTGGGTGCGGGTCTGGAGTGCCCGCCCTTCTGCGTTTCAGGGTCAAAGATGGAAGGGGTTATAATTTAACCTCCTGGAAGCCGTAGCCCTAGTGGAGTATTTGGTTCTGGTTTGTTCTGGTGTGTCTGGCCTAGGAGTTGGACTCTCAAGTCCTCAGCTCGTGTTTCTGATCGCCCCCCGCGCCCCGCTTTGCCCCGGAATGGGTGCTTGCATCCACCGTGGTCACCCGCTCCTAACCACTGAAAGGAGTAACATTAGGAAGGGCGGGGTCAGGGTGGGTTGGTCACTCTGCCTTGGGCTGGAACCAAAGTCTGGACGGCTCCCCTCCCCCTTGGCTGTTACCTGCTTGGGAAATTGGGGCAGGGGATGGGATGGAGAGGGAGGAGCTGGAGTCTAGGCCCCTGGGGGAGGGAGCCATCAACTCAGGCTGAGCCTGGAGCAGTCAAAGTGTTTCTGGTAGGGTGGGCACTCCAGTGCAGGCAAAGGTTCCTAAGAAGGGTGGGAGGCAGAAGAAGGGTTGGGAAGGGGAAAGGCCACTCATTTTCACTTCCCCTCTTTACCCCAGCACCCTTTCCTGCTCTCTTTTGTAGGTGGTTGCCCAGTGGTCTGTCTACTGTTAGCCATCCCTTGCTGGACACTGGGTGACAGGGTGGACTGTTTCCTGGAGGCACTTCTCAGTTTCAGTAGGCTGGTGTTGCAGGTCTGAGGGTGGGCAGCCCAGGAGAGGTTCACTCTGGAAGCAAAGAAGTGCTGGACCTCTGTCCCCTCACCTCCTAGACAGCATTACTTCCCCACTTTGGCTAGCCAGGCATTAGACTTGACTTGCTAGATCCTTTGTATGATCCCAAAGGGGCACCTCCCAACAGTTCCTGAGAATCCTGGCTCCCGTCCCCTCCAAAAAAAGGACAAGAGGAGCCTGGGCATCTCTAAGATGGGGTGGGGCCTGTCCTTGGGAAGGCAGGGCCTCTGAGGGACATTTCAGACCAGGCTAGCCTCGAACTTCCCTACCTCTCGAACTTCCCTACCTCTCCACCTGCCCCTAACTCCCTCTTCTCCCAATTCAGACCTTGGCCAAGTTCAGCTGAGCTGAGGAAGTGGGGGAGGGGGCATGTAAGGAGTCTGAGTTAGTGATGAGGTCAGCCTGACAGGGGGGCCATGGGTCATCTTTCCCTTTATGCGTGTGTCTATGGATAGGGGTAGGTCTGGGCCCCAATCTGTTCAGTCATGGGGAGGAGGAGCCTTCTGAATAATTCAGACCAGTGGAAATTCCAAAAGTCAAGTGGAGATGTTCTGAAGTAAGGGTGGGACTTGACTGCCCTGGCCAGACTTATGGCTGTGGTGATGAAATGCAGCTGGGAGCCTCTGAGTGCCGGGACATGGAGGGAAGACCAGGAGATGGACCTTTCTGAGTCCAGGGCAGCAGCATACAAAGGGGTACCCATGCCTTTCGGGTCCCCTGGAACCCAATGCATCCCTTCTTCCTGGGTGGGTAAACCCATCCTCAGGTCACATGGTTTAGAACTGGCTTTTCTAGTTCCCTGACCATCAGGGTCATGAGCCCCACCTGAATTAACAGCCTTGACCTCTGCCTGAGGCTACCCAGGGCTAAAGATTTGGTGAACCCGGGAGTCTGACAGTTGGGTGTGGCTCCATGTGACCCCTACTCCTAGGGCCGGTGCTCAGTTTTTAGGTGATATCAATTCGAAAAGAACCTGAAGTTGTTGTGGGTGTCCCACCCTATGGATCCCCCAATGTTGGTTGGGGAACACAGTTCCCCAGTCACATGGCCCCAGGGAACCTATCATTTCAGCTTACCCCTTCATCCCCGGTAGGGAGCAGGATTCCAACTCCCTAAACTCTTCCTCTTCTCTTAGCCATGGCTCTTCTTTTTTATGGGTTTGGGGGTGCTTCCACCAGCCAGGCAAGGGGAGCAGAGAGATGTTTTCCCACCAAGGATGATGGGTACTACCTTCCCAAGAAGGCTGTGAGAGAGGGGGGGGGATGCCCTGCTTAAAATGGGGTTGGGGAGAAAGAGCAGGTTGAGCCAGGGTTTTTGGCTGCTGCCTTAGCAACCGCGGAGGAGCCATGGCTGCCCCACTACACAGGCCTGCTATGGTGGTGGGAACACCAGCCAGGCAGGCTCCTACGCTCGTGCCCAAGGCTGGGTGTCTTCCAGCACCTCCCTGTCTTCTCTGAGAGTCAGGCAGAGTGAGGGGTTGGCATGGCAAGCCACCCTGTCCAGGACAGCCAGGAGTGCTATGTATGTGGCTGGCCCCAGTGATCTGCCTGTGGCCCCGGGGTAAAGGAATAAGGGAAAGTGCCTGGGGATGCCTGTGTGAAGCTGAGTGATACTGTATGCAGGCGGGGCTGCACTATGAGGAGAGGAGTTTGCAAGGCAAGGCTCTAGCTCCCCGAGGGGCTCTTGCATCCAGGACATGGGCACTTTTTCAGGCAGTATGACCAGTCAGGACAGCCAATCGGAATATAGGTCCTTGGTGTTCTACCTCCGCTTCTGGGGCCGGTGGTAAAGAGCAGGTTGGACATCTCTACTTTGCTGGTCAGTGGCAGAGGTGTCACTCAGGTGCTTGGGGTGTCACTCAGTCCCTGTGCCTCTGGACTGTCTCCACAGTGGATCTCACTGGGGTGTGGCCTTGTGGCTAGATGCTGGGTTGGGCAAAGGCCGGAGCTGACATTTCCAGCAGGCAGGGCTAGCACATGCTGACCTGAAATGCAGGGGTGTAGCGGGCATGATTCACAATGGCATCTAGGGTCAGCTGGATGAGATGAGCAGGAGCAGGTGGGTTTGCCCTTGGGGCCACCTCTGCCTTTTTCTTGGGAATACAAAATTCTGGAAGGTGGCTTGGGTCTCCCTGCCTTTGAAGGGGTTGGGGTTTGGGATCATGCGGCGGAGTGGATGAGTTTCATCCTCGTCGCTTATTTCACGGGCGACCTTGGACAAGTTCACCTCTCTGAGCTCCAGTTTTTCATACATGTAAAAGAGGATAATAGGTATATGGCGACCTCCTAGGATCGCTGACGTAAAAGATTAAGCAGAGGGCTCAGTACAGATCCTACCAAGGAGCACATACTCCCTACAGTGCACAAAGGGAGCTGTCCTGGGCTTCTCCATCCTGAGGCCCTTTGCCCCTCCCCCACCAGGAACATCCCAGGCTGCCAGCCTTATTGAGTCACCCCCAGGTCCTCAGCTATCACAGGTCAGGCGGCCTCCTTGCCATTGCACAGGTTAGAAGCAATGAGGCCTAGACCGAAAACTGCCTGGTGGCCGGAAACCACGAGAGGGCGGGCCCAGCTCTCCTGCTGGGTGGAGTAGCACGGTGCTAACGGTGGCAGCAGCCGTGGTGTGCACACACACACGAGAAGGGGTTGGGAGGCCTCTACTTCCCTACACGGATAGTGTGCTGGGGGGGGGGGGTTCCCCCTGTGAGTAAGAACTCAGTGTGGGCAACAACAGGAAGTGTAGGGTGCTGGGTGGCAGGAAGCTACTGTGACTGTTCCTGGTTTCTCAGTCGGGGGATTGGGGCTAGGGCTGTCTGTAGCCAGGACCCCAGTACCCCTTACTTTGGGGCGGGGGCAACCAAACAAACTTTGAGTTTTTTTAAACCACATTGTCAGCTAGGTCTCCTCAGGCAAGTGACTTAATATCTCTGTGCTTCTGTTTCCCATCTGGGAAGTGGGGTTATCGCAGTGACTGGTTCCCTTGTTGATGTTTAAATGAGTTGATAATAGATCTACAATACTTGGAAGGGAACTGAGGCCCGAGAAGTGTTTAGGGGATATTAATTATTGTTGTTGTTGTTATTCTCTTGTTAGCCTGGATTATATGGGTGGCCAGGTGTGATGTCCTGGCTCTCACTCACCTCTGACCCTGGAGAAACTAGTAACTTTTGGGGTTCTCAGCTCCTGATGCAGGATGGGTTACGACATAGTTTCCTCTAAACCTGGGACTGCTTGTAAGAGCTCCTGCAAGTCTGTGTCCGGGATTTTAAGTGATGGATGCAACTGATTGTTTCTGCATATGTGCGGACGGCTTGAATGCCAAGGTTGGGACCTGATGGGGAGGGGGAGGGGCGGTGGCACAAACAGGCCTGGAGGGCGCCTTGGCATTTGGCCTTGTCATGCTGAGCTCCCGGGTTACCTGACACTGGAATTGGGGTCCACTTTCAGGAGCTTCCTGGACCTCAAGGGGCTGGGCTGTGAGGAAGGGGTGGGGTGGTGGGATGGAGTGCAAATTGAAAGTGAAATTGTAGGGTGTGGCAGTGTCCAGATGTGTCCAGAGTCTTCAGTCTCCTGGGACAGTGTCTCAGAAGTCAACAAGGCAGACAGTGCCAGGAGGGCAGGCTCATAGCATGAGTTTGCAGGGGCTGGGCCTGGAGGACCTGAAGCTGGGATCCACCTCTGGAGTCTCAAGAGGTCTGGGCAGGGAGAAAGGCTGTCCCCTCATAGTCTAATAGGAATATGAATGAAATCAGTACCATTTATTATTATTTTTTTGTTTGTTTGTTTTTGTTTTTCAAGACGGGGTTTCTCTGTGTAGCCCTGACTATCCCAGAACTCTCTCTGTAGACCAAGCAGGCCTCAAATCCAGAGATCCGCCTGCCTCTGCCTCCCAAGTGCTGGGATTAAAGGTGTGTGCCACCACCACCCGGTTCCTACTTATTTATTTTTTATACATTCTCTCACTATGTAGTCCAGTCTGGCTTCAGACTTGGAGCTAGCTTCCTGTCTCTGGCTCTAGAGTGTTGGGATTGTACTAGGCCTATGCCAAATGGCAAGCATCAGCTCCTTTGCTTGGCCACACCCCATCCAATTAACCCCATCTGCTTCCTCACCTGGCCTGAAGCAATAGGACTGTAGGGAAAGGGCCAGGACAGGTTTGACCAAACTTTGGAGCCAGCTTTGGGCAATGCAGATGTTTTCACAGCATCTCTGCTCACTTACCATCCCCCCTCCCCTGACCTTGAACTCTTCTGTGGACCCCTCCTGTCTCCTGTGCCCCACATTTGTGAGATGCCCCTTCCTGGCCGTGGGGCACCAGAGAACGTTATTATATCAAAATATAGCTTCTGAATATTGCCAGGACTCTGGGAGTAGGAGGCGGGCCAACCTGTGCCCATTCTGTGGAGGAGGAAGCTGAGGCTGACAGGCCAATAAGTTGACTAGGTGGACCCAGAGCCCACCTCGGTGGAACCTCTGCATCACAGCCGCTCTTCAGTACCTCTGCATCACAGCCGCTCTCCTCCATCCTCTCGGGAGGCAGATGGACCACTCATACGTGTGGACTAGCCCTTCCTGTCCTATCTGGACAATGTCAGCCAGCCTTTTGTAATCCCCCAGCACCTGCTCACTGTGCTAACAACCCCTCGCTGAAGGCCCTGGTATGGGACTTGGCTCCTAGCTTGAGGGTGGCCCTACCTCACCCCGAGTGAATGGCATTTGCTGGCCCATCTCCTGCTCCCTGGATACCCTGTTCCTTGGTGGGCACAGCCACAGCCAGGGAGCAGCTGCTAATGAGTGCTCAGCGCTGTCAGAGCTATTTCTGATTTCTGAGCCTAAATTTAGATTGTCTGGCAGGCTGGCACGTGGGCCTGGGGCCTGAAGAGTCCCAGGTAGGGAAGGGGTAAAGGGGCACCCTGCCTTCTGCCATTGTTGAGACAGGTACATCCAGCGGCCCCATGCGGAGGTTGTCTGTCCCTAACCCTGGAGTGGCCCTGAGGGTCTGAACTAGGGCTGTGGCTCAAGGCCAGTCAGCACCCCTCCCCCCACCCCTCCCCCCTCCACCCCTCACCCCTCCGCTTACTGGTTTCCTAAGGTAACCTTGGGCAGGTCACTGAATTAATTTGTGCCTGCATCTGTGAGATGGGCGTATAAACAGTGCCAGTGATGGCGGTCAGGACAAGAGGAGGTCAGTGTCTGGCATGAAATTCATTTAGGTACGGCTGGTTGTTAAACCTGACGATGGGCTTGTTACTGAAATTAGAATTACTGCTAGGTAGTCGTGGCACAGGCTTTTAATCCCAGCACTCAGGAGGCAGAGGCAGGCAGATCTCCGTGAGTTTGAGGCCAGCCTGGGCTTCAGAGCGAGTTCCAGGACGTAGTGAAACCCTATCTTGACAAACAAAACAAACAAACAAACAAAAATGAAGTGCTACTGGGCCATTCCAGAGCCAAACAGGTCTCCAAGGTAAGTGAGACCTCAGACATCCCACATCAGAGAGACTGTCCCTCTAAGGCTCAGAACCGTGGGCTCAGCATCCTCCTCCTTTCCCTCCTCTGCACTGGCTCCAGCTCCAGGGTCCTGGCAGGCCTGGCTCCCACTTCCTCTTTCTCCAGCCTGGCTTGTACCTCAGCCCCCCTAGCTCTGTCTCTGTCGGGTGAGGATAGATCAGAAAGACAGAGAGGAAAAAGTGGCTTCCGAGGCCCCCTGAAGTAGCGTAGGCCCCACCCCACAGCCTTCAGACCCCTTTTGGAAAGGCTCTGTGGTGCAGCAGGAGCAGGCCTGGTCTGCTGCAGTTTCCTCCGGCTAGGCTGGCTTTCGCAATGGGGACACAGGGATGACGTACCTCAGTCCCTGGCTGGCGTGTGGTGGGTGGGCAGTTTCACCTCACAAATAGGGCCCCAGCCGGAAAGCTTAGGCAATGGGGGCTGATAATACCCAGCTTCCTGTTCTCCGTGGATGAGTCAAGGCAGTGATTTTGGGGTGAGGTCTGGCCAGAGCCCCAGACCTAACCCTGCCACCCAAGAGAGGAAGCTAGCTGAGGAGTCTGGAGTGGGTGTGGCTCCTTCTCTGCTCCAGGGATGGCCTCTTCTCAGAGCCAAGGGTCAGAGAGCATATAGCCCGAACTACCAGAGTGGGTGGCAGACAACTCCCAGACTTTGGGCTGAGCTCCTTGGGGCTTCCTATATCCCCGGTAGAGATCCACACTAAACTGGGAGCTCCAGGAGGGCAGGAATTGGCATTGGGGGACTGACATATAGTTAGATTCTTATTAAATGAGGTTTCCTGGACTGGGGTGAACTGGTCTTGTTCTCTAGGTCTGTTGGGCTTGTCCTTAGGGACATGGGGACCCCTGCTTTTGGCAACACCCACTTAAACCCACAGTCCTGGCTGTACTGTACGTCTCATCTGACCTGTGGTGACAAGAACGTGCAGCTAGGGGAAGAGGCCCTGGGGAGAGTCCTGCTGATGTATCTTAGATCCTGGGGGGGCTGTGGGAGAGTCCCAGCCTGGGCCACCAGAACCACAGGCCCCGTGTTCTGCCTAGTCTGCGGTAGAATGGCTTCTCTCCCTAAATTCCCCCCACCTCTGCCGCTGTGACACGTCTTTCTGGAACTCCCTGGTGACTGACACACTGCCCTAAGCCCCTTCAACCCTCTGGGCCTAGTCTGTGCACACAAAGTGTCTGGTGACATGTAGGAGTGAGACGGCTTCCCCGTTAGATGGGGGTAGAGATCATGTCTTCTTAGCTCCCGTGAGTAAAATGGAGCCTAGAGGTGTTGAAGGTCCCTGAGGAATGTACCCACTTACCTCACGCCAGGTGTGCCAGGATGGTGATGTGATGGTGGCAGGGCCCAGTCAGTCTTAGATTCTGAATCCCCATCCCCCACCCCATCTCTTTCCAGCTTGGGCCCCAGGGCCTCAGGGATAGTGGCCTACCTCTCTGGGTCTCGGTTTTCTCACTGGACAACACTGCTTATCTGTTAGGATGAGAGGATGTACGTCTTTGAGGGAGCTTTGTGGACTCCCTGAAGATGCTCGTTCCCTCCTTCTTGGTTATGGGGGAGTCCTGGACTCAAGGGCCTTTGTCTTCCACCTCCCCAGAACTGTATGAACTTGCCTCCAGACAAGGTCCAGCTGCTGAGCCAGTATGACAATGAGAAGAAGTGGGAACTCATCTGTGACCAGGTAGGTGCCGGGAAGGCTCGCCTGCCCTTACCTCTGCTTTTGGGGCACCCTGCCCTGAAGACGCGGGAGCTGGCAGGAGAGGGGCCCCACCGTGCTGCCCAGGGGATATATCTACTGAGGTGATGGGGGGCCCTCGTAGGACTCTATCCTCCCTTGCAGGACCTGATCAGAAACTTTAGGGGTCCTCAGCAGGGGGTGTCCTAGAGAACTGGCAGCGGCTGCCCTCTCTGCTCCGCACACCTGGGGCCCTAGGGCCTCGCGCATGCTAAGCAAGCGGCCTACCACTGAGCTATGGCCACAGCACTTGAGTTTTTGTGTCTGGTTTTCAAACCCAGTCTTACTCCACAGCTCAGGCTGGCTTCAAAATCATGTTCCTCTGCCTTAGCTTCCAGAGTACTGGGATTATGTACAGGCGTGGGTCTCCATGCCCGGTGGCTTGACGCTCTTACCCTGGGTTGAGAAAAGGAGGAAATGTCCCTGGGTTTAGCCAACTGGAGGGGGAGGAAGGAGCAGGTACAGCTGTTTTTTATTTCTGAGGTCAGAGGAGACACAGTCAAGCAACCATCTCCAAGAGCAGACAGTTCAGACTGCTGGCCGAGCCCTGAGTTCCATGGGCTGCCTCATCCCTCCAACTGCTGGGGGCCCAGAGAACTCTTGCCTCATGCAGGGGTGGAGGTGGGTGGAGGCTGGTTGCTGCAGGGTCATCCAGAAGAAGAGGTAGGAGCTGCTTTTAAGCAGAGGCCTGGAGGCTGGCGGGTAGGGAGTTGGAGAGAGGAACCTCCCACTCTCCAGGACCCAGCGAAGCCTTCCACTAATGGACTGGGTTGAGATATACCAGCTGGGCATCCATCATGGCAGAGTTGGGGGTGCCCTAACGCCTCTGCAGTTGTCGTAGGTGTCCCTGTTAGAGGGCGCTGCCTGGATTCTCAGAGGGTAGGCTCAAAGACTGCAGAGTAGAAAGTGGGAGAGGGTATCTGGGCACATCTGAGGGTTTTGGGCTGGGAAGGATAGGAGCCTTGGGGGTGGGGGAGTGTCTCTGCTGTGGTCCTTGCCTCTGTGTGAGGGACTAGGGCAGCAGAATACAGGCAAAGAGCGCTCACAGGTTCCCATCTATGCAGAGGGACAGAACATCTGTTCTGAAGATGGCCTGTCTACCTGCCAGGGAGCTGGCTCCAGGTTGAACTTTCCACTCTAGTCCAGGAAGGGCAAGACAGGCCTGAATGAATAACCCAAGGCAGGGCCTCCGGCAGGACTGGCCTTAGTCCCCTGGCCCCAGGAGAGGCACAACCAGGCCTGAGGCTAAGGTTTTCCATATGTCCAAAGTTTGTACTTTTGGTGTTCCAGAAGCAGTTTAAGACAGCCTGGGACTTCAAGGCTGAGCTGAGAAGGGGGCGTTGGGAGGAAAACTACCCAGTGGTCTTTGGGTTGCTATGACCGACTCTCTGTACACTCCATCCATCTCCCCAGGAGCGGTTTCAAGTCAAGAATCCCCCCGCAGCCTACATTCAGAAGCTGAAGAGCTACCTGGATACTGGTGGGGTCAGCCGAAAGGTAGCAGCTGATTGGATGTCCAATCTGGGGGTACATATCTCCCTTTCTATTCTGCCCTCTTCCATCCTGTACTCTAAACAGCTGGGGCAGCCATGTATGTCTTTTTTTGTGGCCTTGTGTGAGTTCATGTAGAAGTGTGTATATGTAATTTAATTATTGGGGACTGAGCACCCCAGGCAGGCTCTCTCATAGACTCATGTATGTATCTTAGATGTACTTACATGATCATTCCTTTGTGTATTTCTATTGTGTGTGTACACATGTGTACCCTGTTTATTCATGCATAGATAGATGTACGTGGTGGATGTATGTATTTTGAGGTTTGTAGATATGTTTGTTCTCATGTGTATCCCTGAGTCCATGTATAGGAGAAAGAGAGAGAGGGAGAAAAATGAGTGTGTGTATACCCATACGTAAACAAATGGGTAGGCACCCTATGTGTACATATCCAGGGTCTCCTGGGTGGATGTGCAGGCTTGTGTTTGATGTGTCTGTGTCCAGTATGTTTGTGTAGAGATGTGCCTGTGTGCGTGTATGCTATAATCTCTGTATGGAGGTATGTCTGTGTACTCTGAGTCTTCAAACGTGTGTGGATATACCCTCCACGTCGGAGGGGGGGCGTGTAGTCCACGACTGTTCATTCTTCTGGGCAGGTGTGTGGAGGTGGTGGGGGAGGCTGAACGTGAAAGGCCGTGAACGCATAGTGCGGGTGGATACTTCTGGCTGCAGTCGCAGGACTGTGGGAGTCTGAGCGCATGGTGTGGGTGCATACTTCTGGCTGCTGCCTCAGGACTGTGGGAGTCTGGGCTCCACCTACAGACTCGTTTTTTGGCCCCCAGTTTAAGAGGCGAGTTCAGGAGTCTACGCAGGTGCTTCGGGAACTGGAAACTTCCCTGAGGACAAACCACATTGGGTGAGTTTAGGAAAACTCTGCCTCCTGGAAGCCTCTGGGGCTTTCCAGCCCCTCCATCATAGGCTAACCTTGTGGACCATTTCCTTCATTCCCTGCTGCCTGTGCTGGACTTCCATGCACAGCTGGGCTGTGGGTCCTGCTCTGGCCCTCAGCATCCCCTGGTATCCCTGAGTCTCTTGAGGATGGGGGATGGTGTTATGTTCTGGGGCAAGGGCACTCAAGGGTTTTTGCTTTGCGTGCTTGTTGCTCACTTGGGCAGAATTCTTTCTGGCTGCAACTCATGGAACCTTGTCTTCTGCAGGTGGGTGCAGGAGTTTCTCAATGAAGAGAACCGTGGCCTGGATGTCCTGCTTGAGTACCTGGCCTTCGCTCAATGCTCTGTCACGTAAGCTCCTGTCTCCAACCCTCAGGCTGCCTCTCAGAGTCCTGATCACACATTCCTAGGCCTCAGCTACCCCTCTGAACAGGAACTGATCTCTTGCCCTGTCACGGGACAGTTGGACTTGGCTCTGGGCAGTGGTTCTTGGGAAGGCCTGTCCTCAGCCAGAAGGGACGTTCCTACCCCCTTCACCTTGCTCAGCGTAGAGTCATAGATGAGCCAGGCTGTGGTGGTCCAGATCTCTAATCCCAGCACTTGGGAGGCAGGGACAGTCAGATCTCTGTGAGTTCTGGCCAGCCTGGTCTACAGAGTGAGAAGCTGTCTCAAAACAAAAGCAAAAACAAAAACGAGAGCCATGAATGAACATAGCCTCCTCCTCCTGCCTCAGTCTTTCCTGCAAATCTGCTCTGCCTAGCATGTCCCTCTGCCCCCATTTAAGTGTCCCCTGTGGGGCTCCTTCCATCGCATCTCTAGGTATGACATGGAAAGTACAGACAATGTGGCCTCAAGTGCAGAGAAGAGCAAGCCCCTGGATCAGTCCGTGGAAGACCTCACCAAGGCACCACCCTCATCTGTGCCCAAAAGTCGCCTGACCATCAAGTATGTGGGGCCCCAGATGGGATGATGGGAGAGTAGAGGATGGGACTGCACACTGCCACATCTAACCAGGACCCCGACGGACCGTGGGAGGTGTAGTTCAGCATGGGGGATCAGAGTCTTGGCTTCTGGACACAAGTATATTAAATCTTCAGGTGCAGGCACCTAGAGACTAGGATCTGAGGGGGACTGGAATAAGGAGAGGGCTTGGGGGTTGGTAGGATCCCTTTTGTACCCATCTAACCCCTTGTTTCTTCCTATGTGGCCTCCAGGTGCCCCCCTTCTCCCCGGTACGTAGTCACCTGGGGGCAGGTGCATGCTGGGCCGACTCTGTGGGGTGGTGGGTTGGAAGACGCAGTCAGCTGATGCCCCTGAGTTCAGCTGCTGCGGATTGGTTTCCTCATCCTGACAGGATGTTCTGCCATCTTGTTGGGAGGCAGGGAGGGGGAGGAGATGACCCTGGAGCACTGGCTTCCTGTGTTGGGTCTGAGGGACCAAATGTATGTTTATCTATTTGTGTGTGTGTGTATGTGTGGTCAGTGTGTGTGTGTGTGCCAATAGCTGATCCAGCTAAGCATGACTTGTAGATGAGTGCTGGGGATTTGAACTCAGGTCTTCTTTCTTTATAGCAAGTGATCTTACCAACTAGCCATCTCCACAGCCCCGTAAAATACATGCACATACATATCTATGTGTACACACACACACACACACACACACACACACACACACACACACACTGTCATTGGGACTTGCATCCAGGGCTTCAGGCATTTTAGGCAAGTACTCTTACACTGAGCTACACCACCAGCCTGGACCAACTGTATATTAGGCCCCAAGATCTCACATTGTTTCTTTCCTTCATTCATTCACTTAACAAACATTTTTTTAGACACTTACTAGATATACTTCCTAAATAGCACCTATTAGTGGTAAGTGCTCACAAGACAATTCATCCTGCTTTCGGGGGCCACAGTCTAGCGGAAAGGCAATTTAGTGTGGAGCATAATCACAGAGATGTGACCTGCATCCCTGAGAAGGCAGGTGTCCATTGCTTGTGGGTACTAGGAAGATTTCCAGAAGAGGTGACATGGGGATGATGTCTGACGGATGGACGGATGGACAGTGGCCTCAGAGCAAGCGATGGGGATGCGGGGAGCAGCATGAACAAAGACTGAGACACTTTTGAGCAGTGATAGGAAAGGTTGATGTGGCAAGCAGTAGGGAGGACTCAGTTGGAGAGGTGGAACTGGCTAGCCGGGCTAGAAAAGTTACAGAAATGTCGCGAAAACCTCAAGAGTAGCAGAGAGCACACTCGGTATACTCCTACTAGGTGCCAGGCTGGAGCGCATTACACAGTCCCAACAAGCCTGTGAGGAAGGTATTCTTGAGGCTGAGGAGACAGCTCAGTCAGTAAAATGCTTGCCCCGTAAGCAAGAAGGCCTGAGTTGAGTCCCTGGCATCCCTGGAAGAAGTTGGGTACGGTGGTATGAGCTTGTAATCCCAGACTGGAGAGGCGGGGATGAGAAGATCCCCGAGGCTCAGTGGCCAGACAGCCTAGCCTAACTGGCGAGCACCAGGTCCCAGTGAGAGACCTTGTCTCAAAAGAACAAAGCAGGGGCTCGGGAGACCACTTGGGGGTTAAGGGCTTCTGCATAAGCTGGCGGACCTGAGTTTGGATCTCTAGCAGCCATGGAAAAATCGGGCACAGCTGCATGCACCTGTGTTCGCACCCCTGTGTGGGTGCCCCTGTGTTCTCAGTGCTGGGGAGGTAGACGGGAGGACTTCTGGAACTTGCTGGCCCGCCAGTCAGTAGACACAGAGTGTTTTGGGTTTAATAAGAGACCCTGTCTCAAAAACAAATAAAGACTGATAAAGGAAGATACATGAAACCTCTGGGCTTCACATGCACACTGAAGTGCACACATGTGTGCATACACACACACACACACACACACGTAGAGGAAATGCATAAGCACTCACACACACACTTGCACACACATGAAATGTATACACATGTACACCCAAAGAAGGTATCTACCATTGCTGGGTATGGCGGTGTAAAGCTGGAAGGAGGCCAGCCTGGTCTACTTGAGACCTTGTCTCACTCCCCCTGCCTCCCCCTGTGTGGAACTAATGCTGCCATTCCCTTTACGAGGAAAGTGAGGTGCAGGGAGACCAAACGCCCCCCTCCTAAGTGGTGAGCGGCAATGTTCTTGCATCTAGGCACTTGAGTTTAGTCCGCCGCCTCTCAAGATGGAAGATGAGCCCAAGTGGTTGTGAGCGCCACCTTGTGGAGACATTTCTGGTGTCTCGCTATTTCCAAGCTTTGCCTTTGGTGGGCTTTCCATTCACAACACAGCTCTGCTCCCTCCCTCCCAACCTCCCTCCCTCCTCCTCCCCCTCTCTCCCTCCCTCCCTCCTTCTCTCCCTCCCTCTCTTTTTTCGTCTTTGAGTCAAGCTCTCATGTAACCTAGGCTGGCCTCAAACGCCCTACTATGTAGCCAAGGCTGGTCTTGAACCCCAATCCTCTTGCCCTTACTTCTCAAATACTGGAATTACAGGCACGTGCCACCATGCCTAGCTCACAGCAGCCCTTTTAAAAACCAAGTCTTTGAAAGGACGTTTGCTGCCTTTAACAACCCTTACCACCACACCCCCGTCCCCAGCATGCCGGCCCTGAGGAAGGCTGCCTGCCTTCAGCTGGTCTGTCGGGTTGGGTAGATAGTAAACCGTGGCTTAGAGTTCCAGATATGTCCCCCTCACTCCAAAGGACATTTTACTGGTGTGTGGAACAGGAAGCTGGGGATTGGGGCTCTGACCCTGCTGCCTCTTCCACATCCACCAGGCTGACACCGGCCCACAGTAGGAAGGCCCTGAGGAATTCCCGAATCGTCAGCCAGAAGGATGATGTCCATGTGTGCATCATGTGTCTGAGAGCCATCATGAACTACCAGGTCAGCTGTGGTGTGGGGTTGGGGCCTCAGGGAGCTGGCTTGTCCCTATGGGGCCTGTACAAGCTACTGGCTGATCTCTGTGAGTTCAAGTCCAGCCTGGTCTATAGAGTGAGTTCTAGGACAGCCAGGGTTACACAGAGAAACCCTGTCTCAAAGACAAAAGAAAAAAACAAAGAAAAAAAAAGGAGGGGAGGGCTTGACTTCTTAAGAGTTTATGGCTGGATCTGAAGAGCTTTGGGCATTAGAGGCCAGAACAACATGGCCCAGACTATGCTGAGGGTGTTGGCAATCTCGGGGACCTGCCTGGAGGTGCTGACCTCTTCTCTCTCCCCAGTCCGGCTTCAGCCTTGTTATGAACCACCCAGCCTGTGTCAACGAGATCGCTCTGAGCCTTAACAACAAGAACCCCAGGTGAAGTCTATGCCCTAACTGCTTCTGTCCTTGCAAACTCTGTCCCCTATCCCCAGGACTGCTGCCCACCCCACCCCAGCTCCCCAGTCCTCAGGTCCCTGCCACCCCTGCTGTGGGGACTAGCCTCCCCCTTCTCTTTCCAGAACCAAGGCTTTGGTGCTGGAGCTGCTGGCAGCCGTGTGCCTGGTGCGGGGAGGACACGACATCATTCTTGCAGCCTTTAACAACTTCAAGGAGGTACTGGGTCCGCCATCCCAAACCTACTTGCCCTTCTGGTACTGCTTGGAGTCTGGTTGCCGGAAGTTGTGGCCTCTGATAGGGCATCTGAGTGCTGGGATGAAAGGTGTACGCCACCACGCCCAGCCAGTCAACCAATCTTTAAGGAAGGATATGAGTTAAGCATGTTGGTACAGACTGTAATCCCAGAGCCAGGAGGATTAGGACTTCAAGATTATCACTGGCTATATAGTGAGTTCAAGACTAGCCTCTAAGCTCCAAAACCCAAAACCCTAGATCTCTGTGAGTTTGAGGCCAGCCTGGTCTACAGAGTGAGTTCCAGGACAGCCAAGGCTGCACAGAAAAACCCTGTCTTGAAAAATCAATCAAACAAACAAACAAAAACAAAAACAAACCCCAAACTTATGCCAAAACAAAAACCAATCCAACATAAACCCTGTCTCAAAAAAAAAAAAAAAAAGAGAACGGGCTGGCTGGATATGTTCATTCATTCTTGTTTTGTTTTGTTTTTTTTTTTTTTTTTTTTGGTTTTTCGAGACAGGGTTTCTCTGTGTAGCCTTGCGCCTTTCCTGGAACTCACTTGGTAGTCCAGGCTGGCCTCGACCTCACAGAGATCCGCCTGGCTCTGCCTCCTGAGGGCTGGGATTAAAGGCGTGCGCCACCACCGCCCGGCCATTCATTCTTTCATAAATGTTTGCCGAGGGCTGACTATGTACCAGGCACAGAAGCAGGCCCTTAGGATACATCGGTGAGCAAAAGAAATGGAAAGTCATGAGAGGGCTGGGGTAATGGTACTCGTTCAATAAAGTACCTACTATGCATACATGAGGACCTGAATCCCCCACCCCACATAAAAAAGTCAGGTTTGCCAGGCGTGGTAGCACGACTTTAATCCCAGCACTCCAGAGGCAAGGGCAAGTGCATCTTTGTGAGTACCACCCATGGCTGCACAGCAAGACCATGTTGCACAAACAGACAATCCCAGGGGCTGGAGAGATGGCTCAGTGGTCAAGGGCACTTGTTCTTGCAGAGGACCCTGGTTTGATTCCCAGATCAAAAGGCAACCCACAACTGTCCACAACTCCAGTTCCAGGGCATGTGATACCCTTTTCTGACCTCTGTAGGCACCAGGCATGCTTGCATATACATGCAAGTATGCACTCACATACCTAAAATAAAATAAATAAATCTTAAAAAAAAAATCGAGCCAAGTTTAGTGGCATGTGATTGTCATTCCAGTACTGGGGAGACAGTGACAGGCAGTTCTCTGGAGCTCACTGGCAGTCAATCAAGCCTGCTCTGTGAGCACCAGGCCACCGAGACACCCTGTCTCTGAACACAGTGTGAAGCTGGAGAGACAGCTCTGTGGACCTGGGTTCGGCTTCCAGCAGCTACATCAGGAGGCTCACAACTGCCTGTAACATCAGTTCCAGGGTATCCAGTGCTCTCTGTGGCCTCTGCAAACACCCACACTCACATTTTACACATATGTTTAAGCAGGAACACATATAGTAAATAAATATTTTTGAAAAAGATGGATTTGAGCTGGCGGTGGTGGCGCACACCTTTAATCCCAGCACTGGGGAGGCAGAAGCAGGTGGATCTCTGAGTTTGAAGCCAGTCTGGTCTATAGACTGAGTCCCAGGACAACCAAAGCTACACAGAGAAACCCTGTCTCAAAACAACAACAACAACAACAACAAAAGATGGATTTGCTTCTGAAGACCTTGGTTTGATTCCTGAGGTTGACCTTTGGCTTCTACACACATATGCACATATATATGCATGCAAATGCCTATAATGAAAAGTCAGGAAACCGCTTATCAATGAGCGACTTATGTCGTCTTAGAAAATGCTACATGTTAAGGGGGACAGGGTTGCCACAGGAGAGGGAACTGCTTGTAGGGAAGGCCTGGCTGAGAAGTTGAAGCTTGACTGGTCACAGCTTTGAAGATGCTGGGGGATTGGGAGTGGTGGTTCTCTTTGCCAGCACACCATGTGGTTAGGACAGTGGGAGTGCACCCCAATGCTAGTGCAGCCAGGGTGGGGTGTGTGACCCATTATTTAGTGACCTCCATTCTCCCTCTCCAGGTGTGCGGAGAGCAGCACCGTTTTGAAAAGCTGATGGAATATTTCCGGAATGAAGACAGTAACATTGACTTCATGGTGAGCTTAGAGCTGGTGTGTGTGTGTGTGTGTGTGTGTGTGCGCTGAGGATTGACTGGGCCCTGTTGCATGCTGGGAGCAGCTGAGGACCTGGGTGGCTGGGCTCAGGGCTTGCTGAGTTGTCAGTGGGAAAGGGTAGATGTCGGGGGAGTAAGGACTGGACCAAGAGGACCTGAGGGTTATAAGACCAGGCTAGTGGAATGTGAACTGTGGAGAGGGAGGGAGGCTTGGGGACAAATAGGAAGTGGAAGAGAGCAGCACTGGTGTTCCTGGCCCCCAGGTGGCCTGCATGCAGTTCATCAACATCGTGGTACACTCAGTGGAGAACATGAACTTCCGTGTCTTCTTGCAATATGAATTCACCCACCTGGGCCTGGACCTGTACTTGGAGGTGAGCCTTGCATCACACCCCCTGCCCCCCTGACTGAATTACCCACCCACTGTGGAGTATGTAGTTATGTATGTAGTGTGTAATGAGCAGGTTTTGAGTTCAAATCCTGGCTCTGAGAGCTGGGTTTGGTGATACATGGCAGCAATCATATCACGTGGGAGGCCAAAGCAAGAGGGTCTCAAGTTCAAGTTCAGTCTGGGCTTCCCTCTTCCCTCTTCCAAAATGGTAAAACAAACAAACAAACAAACAAAAACCACCCACAAATAAACAGAATCCTACTCTGCTGCTTGCTAGCCCTGTGACCTTGCACACATCTGCTCATCCTTCTGAGCCTGTTTTCCTGTCAATCACAGAGGCAATAAAGACTCTAAACATGTAGAGATCCTGGCACATGACGGATACCTAGTATAACATCTGTCACTGAGATCCTGGAACAGGCTCAGGTGGCTCTGGATGTGACCCAGGAGCATCAGCTGAGGCAGGTGCCCTGACACCAGGACATGATGGGGAGCCCAGAGATACACATTGGGGGGCTGCCTCAGCCTGAGTCTGGGTGTTGGGAAGAGGGAACAGAGGAACGGGTGAGCAGAGAAGCCAGAGCTTCTGGCCTGGTTCCTTTGGGAGGCTTTCTAGAGGGGTGGGGCCTTTGGGACTGGATCTCCTAAAGCTAGGACTGCAAACACCAAGAGGAGGCGAGGCCGGTCTAGCCACACAGTAGAATGAGATACATCTGGAACAAGGAAAGTTGTCTGACCTAAGCTCCAGCATGGCTGAGCCTTGAAAGAAGAGAGAAGCCAGAGGCGACAGACTGAATAGAGGGCTGGAAAGATGGTCTAATGATTAAGAGCACTTACTACTCCTGCAGAGGACCCGGGACCCTCTGTGGTTCCCAGCACCCATGTCAAGAGGCTCAGTCTCCTGTAACTCCAGTCCCAGGGGATCAGATGTGCTCTCCTGGTCTCCGAGAACATCAGAACTCATGTGGTGTCCATCAGCGCTCACAGGGACACACATACATAAAAATCCCTGAATAGTATATGACTTTTAAAAATAAGAAATGTCCAGAATGGCTAAATCCATAGAGGCAGAAAGTAGATTCATGGCTGCCGGGGGCTGGAGAGGAGATAATGGAAAAGAAACCCTACCTGGCCTAGAGTTTCCATCCGGGGTATTGAGCTTTTAGAAAAGAGGTAACACATCTTAAAATAGTGAATTGTGTGGCATGTGAATTATATCAGTCAAAATTAAAAGCTAACCAGAGCCCAAGTACTCTGGGTTCTAGTGGTGGTGGTTGGATAGACACCCTGCCACCACCTCAGACCTCACCACGCTCCTGCTGTCTGGGGACAGAGGCTCCGGCTCACCGAGAGTGACAAGCTGCAGGTGCAGATCCAGGCGTACCTGGACAACGTTTTTGATGTGGGAACCCTGCTGGAGGACACAGAGACTAAGAATGCAGTGCTGGAGCACATGGAAGAGCTGCAGGAGCAGGTGGCACTGGTGAGAGCCGACCCCAACCTAGTCCATCATCACACAGTGGGCCCACAGAAGGCTGTCTCGGGGCTCCTCTTGTGCAGCAAGTACTGAATGGAAGACATAGTTCTGGGTGTAGATTGGAGGCGGCAGTCTGCCTGGGCTCTGAGTTTGCCCTCGATCCAAATCCGGAGTCCTTTTGGTGTCTTTCTCAATGAGTCTTCGGGGAGCGCCCACGCTGTGTGGGACTTGTGCGCAAAGCAGGCACCTCCTCCCGGCGCAGATTCCAAACCCCGACTCCAGTGAACTAGATCTTGGGGTCCCTCTCAGCACAGCCTTCTCCCCTACCACCTTTCTGTGCACTGGTGCCTCGGTTTCCCCCCTCTTCCTTTATCTGGGTTCAGGTGCCAGGCTTGGCCCACCCTTGGCACGCTGGGCCAAGCGGATGTGGGAGCCACCCCCAGCCCTCCAGGCAGGCTTGCCTGATGCCGCCCCCCCTCACCCGCGGCGGTGCCAGTGCCTGGCCGCGGGTGGTAGCTCACCATGTGCTGGTGCCACAGCTGACAGAGCGGCTTCGGGACGCAGAGAACGACTCCATGGCCAAGATCGCTGAACTGGAGAAGCAGCTAAGCCAGGCCCGCAAGGAATTGGAGACCCTGAGGGTGAGCTGTGGGTGTGGGCTGGGCCAGGCTGGGGTGTGGGCCGGGCCAGGCTTCCCAAGGAGACTTCTCCGCTTGTCATCCCAGTATATCCCAGAAGAGGATTGGGGCGGGGTTGCTCTATGCCAGAGCGCTTGCCGGTGGGCACTAATCCTTCTCCTGGGGCTCGCAGGAGCGTTTCAGCGAGTCAAACCCCATGGGCACTGCCAGACGTATCCCTGAGCCTGAGAAAGTGCCTGCCCCTGCCGTGGTGCGACCTTCAGCTCTCGAGCTTAAAGTGGAGGAGCTTGAGGAAAAGGGGGTTAATCCGAATCCTGCGGGGGCCCGGGGATGTCGTCTCCATCGAGATCCTTCCAGGAGCGGTGGCGACACCCAGTGGTGACAGCGCACCAACTCCGGGGGTGCCCACTGACTCTCCTAGCCCAGGTGCACAGTTGCTTCATGCTGGGGGAGAGAGACCAGGGCAGGGAAGGGTATCGTGGGGGATATACCTGGCTGTGAAAGATAAGGAGGTTGGGATTGTGGGCATGGTACAGGTACACGCAGGTGGGTTGAAATGGGTTCGGGATGCATGCATTGGGCAGGGAGGTGGCAGAGACCCCCCCTCCCCACGCCAAGAAGTTGACGAGTTTCTCCCACGCCCTCGCTGGGCTCACTTCTCCCACCTGCAGCAGAGTCGGTTCCCGGAGCAGCATCACCACCGCCGCCGCCGCCACCACCACCCCCGCCACCCCCCACTACCTAACCTCCAGTCCCCGCAGGAAGCCCTTCCCTCTGCACCCCCGCCGGCCCCGCCCCTCCCAGGCTGCGCAGAGCCTCCACCTGCACCACCGTTGCCTGGAGACCTGCCGCCCCCACCCCCTCCACCCCCACTTGGTACTGATGGGCCAGTACCACCCCCACCCCCACCCCCTCCGGGAGGGCCTCCTGATATCCTTGGAGGACAAGGCCCAGAGATAGGCCCAGGTAAGTGGGGTGGACTATCTCAGATCTTCTAGGGCTGGTGGGGAAGCGGAGCAGTGCCCCCTCCCATCCCCCGGGGGTGTCCTCCAGGACCCTCTCTACCTAGGAATCTCCTCCTGCCTCCTGCCTGTCTTGTTAGGCCTGGCTGGGTTAGTTCCCTCCAGTGTCTGCATTGCTCACCACCTCCTTCCTGCTCCCAGGGGTGAAAGCCAAGAAACCCATCCAGACCAAATTCCGGATGCCACTGCTGAACTGGGTGGCATTGAAACCCAGCCAGATCACAGGCACCGTCTTCACTGAGCTCAATGATGAGAAAGTGTTGCAGGTGAGTGGGCACCAGAGAGCTGCAGGGTCATGCTGGGCATAGGGGTGCTCATCTCCTTCAGGATGGGGACGCCCAGGGCGTGGGCTTTAAGACCCTGGGTTGGTGCATCCAGGAGGCAGCATCCTGACCCATGCAGGCTCTCCTCTCCCCGAGTGTGGCCTCTCCTTTCTGCCCAGTCCCCACAGACAACTAAGGCCTGGGCCCTTCTGATTCTAGTTTCACCTTGGAATGGGTTCCCTGTCCTCTGGGCCATCTGTTTTCTCTGCCTGGAATAATCTCCTTCACTGCTGGCTGCTCGGCCCTTCCTTCAGCTTTAATGGCCGGGAATCTGGGTCCTCTGTTGTGTTCTTCTCTGTCACACCTTTCTTGTGTCTCCCCTGTATCTCCTGTCAAGGCTGTGGTCAAGCTAGCTCACTGGCTATTCTGTCCAATGGTGTTCTGTCAGGCTACACTAACGACCTTAGCTCTGGGCACAGTGTTGAGCCCAGAGTGTGGGCAGATCTTGGCTCCACTCAGCTTAGTATTCCCTTCCTTGCATTCCTAGGAGCTAGACATGAATGACTTTGAGGAGCAGTTCAAGACCAAATCTCAAGGCCCCCAGCCTGGACCTCAGCACTCTGAAGGGGAAGGCAGCCCACAAAGCTCCCACCAAGGCAACACTCATTGAGGCCAACCGGGCCAAGAATTTGGCCATCACCCTGCGCAAGGGCAACCTAGGGGCAGACAGAATCTGCCAGGCCATTGAGACGTGAGTACCTGCACTGGGGTGTGGCCCAGTCTTCTTGCTAGCCTAGGATCATCAGGCAGAGCTTAGTAAGAACCCCAGCAGTAGCCGGGCGGTGGTGGCGCACGCCTTTAATCCCAGCACTCGGAGCCAGAGGCAGGTGGATCTCTGTGAGTTCCAGGTCAGACTGGTCTACAAAGTGAGTTCCAGGGCAGCCAGGGCTACACAGAGAAACCCTGTCTTGAAAAACCAAACCAACCCCCGCCCAAAAAAAAAAACCCACCAGTGAGACACAGAATCCACCAAACTTCACACCAGTCCTGGTCAGGGAACATCGTCCTCATTTTCTTGCCAAGAAAACTAAGACTGTACATGCCCAGATTGAGACCTCCCCACTCGCTTCCTGCTTCTGCCCAGCATGGGCACCCAGGCCAAAGGATTTATATATAGCATCTGCCAGCGTTGTATGATAGGACCGGAGCTTCCCGTGACTCCTGTCTCTGGTTCTCTGAAGCCGTCTACAAAACTGAATGTCGACGGTTGTTTATTCTGTCATTTTCTTTGGGACTTGTAAGTGTGGGACGACACCCACTCTCCCCTCTGTTTCCTCATGCAGGTATGACCTTCAGACTCTCAGCCTGATTTCTTGGAGCTGATTTAAATATATTTCAAAGTAATAAAGATATCTAACCCTTTTATTATTATTTTGTATCTGATAATTGTGTACATTTGGTAATGCATATATTTGTTTTTTTGTGAAAATTTTCCAAATTAAACATCTATTAGATTACTTGTATGATAATTA